AGCTACTGCATAGCTTACGTGTAGTATTGTCGCGTGATCGAGTAACTATAGACGGGTTTTGGATTAGTTACTCGACTTATTGACCACTTATACAACTCGTTACTACACTCCACAAATCTCTATCGCACACAGACTAGTGTTCTCAGTCTCTTACGGTCTCCACTGGTCGTTTTCTGGCAACGGTTTTTAAAACTGTAGCTATAACAGTCTCACTAAATTACACACTCCAAAAATTACTGCAACCACAGCACTCAAAAGTCTTCTCTGTCTTCACTAGTCGTTTCCTGGTAACAATTTCTAACAGTGGATAATCTTCAGCTTCTGTTCTAACTGCACCAATCAAATTTTCTCGTCACAGTTCTCTCAGTGCTTCAACCGACTAACTCCTAGGCTGGCGGTCATATCATTCCAACCTCCTAGTCTTCACGGACTGACTTTCCGCTATGTATAAGGGGTGGCCTTCTCAGCCCTTGCACCGCGACCAACAGTGGTCTCTTGTGCTTGACTTTACATTAACTGAACTCCCAGACCGGTGTCCTCGTTATATAACCCTTTTGCACGGACAGAGAAGAAAACACAGTTTCCAACATTTCCTCTATTGTATCTCAACTGTTTTGCTTGTTAAATACTGGTATCTGCTGCCCAGCAGCGGTTGTATTCTTATGTTTGTTTTGTGGTCGTTGCTAGAAACGGGTCTATGCGCCACAGTATGCATATAAGAGAAACATAATCCGTCAGTCTGTACAGTTACCGTTACCTGTTGCCTAATCACATAGGCAGGACAATTTATAACAAATTCTGAAGCCTGTAGCATCATTGTGAAGAAGGTATGCCATGAATATATATGAAGGAGTGGAGGTATAGCTCCACCATTCTTGACCTCAACACTAGATGGAGGTGAGTGGTCAGCTTCACTCCCCGGCCACTTTACCCCGAGGAAAGAGCCTCCGGAACCTATTGGACAGGAGGCTGGGTGGGCCCCAGAGCCGGCCATGACGCTGTGGAGAAAAGAAAAATATTGGCCCTGCCGGGAATGGAACTCCGGGCGTGTAACCAGTGGCCCGTCTCTGCACCTACTGAGCTGTCGTGACTCCCTGTGAAGAGGGTAATATGAATTAACATGAAACGTATTTTATATGTTGATCTGTTTGTTGAAAAGATCCTATTTTCCTAATGGTTGTTGACACCAATGTAATGCTTTAAGTCAGTCCCTCTTTTCATTGAATTGGGAGATCCAGTGCCGTGTTCACAGATTCAGTCACCGAGCCTTATATTCAGCCGGCTGAATCAAGTCCACATCTCCCATCCAACTCACATTTCTTTAAGATTATTTTAATAATATCCTCCCGTGAAAGTCTCTTTAAACTTACTTTTCCCTGAGGGCGTTCAGACCAAAGTACTGTAAGAATTTCCCTCACTTCCATGCATGCTATATGCTGTATACAATTTATCTCTGATAATCTACCTTCATATGAAATTTCTCGTATCTATACTTGAGCGTTCAAAGCATTCTCACTGGAGTTACGGATAAGTGTTGTTAGGTGGGGAGGGCCTCGTGCCCCATTCTACCATTCTGGGCTACCCTTTAGTGTTCTGTACAAAAAGCTGTAGGATAAGTAAAAATGACCGTAAAAAAGTGGCGGTAGAGTAGGGGGAGCGCAGGGAGAATTGATAGACGGAGTGGGGAAGATTCTTGAGAATTCTTTATCCGGCTGTAGTATAGCTTCACAAAAACTGAAAGCAAAAATTTTGAAAAGCCATAATTGCTGAACGGTGACAAATCGAGTAACTGTTTATTTACAGTTACTGTTCTAAATATCTCCTCAACCATCCCATAACTTTAGGTAATAAGACTTTGAAACATCTTGTATATTCTGCACTTCAGCTAATCTTAAGAACAATAGACTCAGGCTTACAAGCATGTGGTAATGAACGCTATGTTTTATGGTCTCTATGCAGAAATATGATAAGAATTCATCCTACTAATACAAATTCAGCTGTTTTGCCGTCGTTTGTACAGCATAGCGACTTCAGAATTGAATGTCAAGCAGGTGCTACCTGCAATTAATATACACAAGAGGTGTGTTCTTATATCAGCACAGACTACGAACATATTAATTAAGCACACGAAACAGTCTCCAGAACCTAACGGATATCTGGCCGGGTAGGCACCTTATACAAACCTACCATTTCCTGACGATATTAAAGTAGGCTAACAGGAAACATGGCATTAAATTACAGACAGAATTAATACACGTAAGTCTATCTAAAGTATTTCTCAGTGTTTTTCTAGTTTAAAGAATGCTGGAAGACAATAAGATACAGATATTATCACGAGTTTAGGGCTCCGTGACCAACGATAACAGGTTCTGGATTGGATTTATTGACACCTTCTGTTACAGTCACTCTTAATCACAATCAATTACAACAGCTCACAACCAGTGACTGACTAAGACTCGCTCCATTCTGACTGGACTGCGACTGCCTTCTCTTTTACTGTTACTGACTTGCTTCTGATTCACGAATCACGCACTTCTCTTTTACTGTGATTGACTTGCTTCTGATTCACGAATCACGCACTTCTGTTTTACTGTGACTGACTTGGTTCTGATTCACGAATCACGCACTTCTGTTTTACTGTGACTGACTTGCTTCTGATTCACGAATCACGCATTTCTGTTTTAGTGTGANTTTATGGTCTCTATGCAGAAATATGATAAGAATTCATCCTACTAATACAAATTCAGCTGTTTTGCCGTCGTTTGTACAGCATAGCGACTTCAGAATTGAATGTCAAGCAGGTGCTACCTGCAATTAATATACACAAGAGGTGTGTTCTTATATCAGCACAGACTACGAACATATTAATTAAGCACACGAAACAGTCTCCAGAACCTAACGGATATCTGGCCGGGTAGGCACCTTATACAAACCTACCATTTCCTGACGATATTAAAGTAGGCTAACAGGAAACATGGCATTAAATTACAGACACAATTAATACACGTAAGTCTATCTAAATTATTTCTCAGTGTTTTGCTAGTTAAAAGATGCTGGAAGACAAGAAGATACCTCGAGTTTAGGGCTCCGTGACCAATGATAACAGGTTCTGGATTTACAGTCACTCTTAATCACAATCAATTACAACAGCTCACAACCAGTGACTGACTAAGACTCGCTCCATTCTGACTGGACTGCGACTGCCTTCTCTTTTACTGTTACTGACTTGCTTCTGATTCACGAATCACGCACTTCTGTTTTACTGTGATTGACTTGCTTCTGATTCACGAATCACGCATTTCTGTTTTACTGTGATTGACTTGCTTCTGATTCACGAAACACGCATTTCTGTTTTAGTGTGACTGACTTGCTTCTGATTCACGAATCACACACTTCTCTTTTACTGTGACTGACTTGCTTCTGATTCACGAATCACGCACTTCTGTTTTACTGTGATTGACTTGCTTCTGATTCACGAATCACGCATTTCTGTTTTACTGTGATTGACTTGCTTCTGATTCACGAAACACGCATTTCTGTTTTAGTGTGACTGACTTGCTTCTGATTCACGAATCACACACTTCTCTTTTACTGTGACTGACTTGCTTCTGATTCACGAATCACGCACTTCTGTTTTACTGTGATTGACTTGCTTCTGATTCACGAATCACGCATTTCTGTTTTACTGTGATTGACTTGCTTCTGATTCACGAAACACGCATTTCTGTTTTAGTGTGACTGACTTGCTTCTGATTCACGAATCACACACTTCTCTTTTACTGTGACTGACTTGCTTCTGATTCACGAATCACGCACTTCTGTTTTACTGTGATTGACTTGCTTCTGATTCACGAATCACGCATTTCTGTTTTACTGTGATTGACTTGCTTCTGATTCACGAAACACGCATTTCTGTTTTAGTGTGACTGACTTGCTTCTGATTCACGAATCACACACTTCTCTTTTACTGTGACTGACTTGCTTCTGATTCACGAATCACGCACTTCTGTTTTACTGTGATTGACTTGCTTCTGATTCACGAATCACGCATTTCTGTTTTACTGTGATTGACTTGCTTCTGATTCACGAAACACGCATTTCTGTTTTAGTGTGACTGACTTGCTTCTGATTCACGAATCACACACTTCTCTTTTACTGTGACTGACTTGCTTCTGATTCACGAATCACGCACTTCTGTTTTACTGTGATTGACTTGCTTCTGATTCACGAATCACGCACTTCTGTTTTACAAACAACAAATAATGAATGAATCCGATCAGTCAGAGTCACAATCAGAGAGAGAGAGTTACTTTACGACTGGCGGTTTACCGCCAATCAGTTCGTTTTGGCGACAAGCCCCTTGAGACTCACGACCAGTAATTTTATTTCCCAACTGAACACTTGCGGTTATAGTCCTTATGTAACATCCTCTCTGACGAGAGGATGGGTCTGTCGTTCACAATTGCTGCTGGCGTTCACCATCGCCATCATTTTCGGGTCCGAGCCCCGTGAGACAAGTGACCACATTTTAATGTCTCCAATTTGAGACTCCCAAACTTGGATGACCAGGTCCCCGTATTTATATCCCCCAGGAATAGGGTTACCCAGTTATATCCCCAGGCACTGGGTTCCGTTTTCGTCGCCTCCTACGATTCACAGGTCGATTGTTGACTAAGAAACGTTTGTCGAATATTCATTTACACGGAAACGTATGTTGTACATGAATTGGTCTCGAGAAATCCACTTCCATGGAAACGTGATTTGTACCGAGCTGTTTCCTAGAAACGGCCCACATGCCATAATAAGTATTGTCAATTAACTTCGTTCCTTCTGTACAGCAGGTATTTCTCCTTGTGACTGCCTCTGTCAGCAGCAGTTTTATGTAAATGAATGGACTGATGAAGCACTGAAGTTCTGTGGGTGCAGGGCAGATGTGTGGGAAGCTTCGGCACCTCCAGGGCTGTGAGCACTGTGAGTGTGATGGGGCATTTCTTGTGCAGGTGCGTGCCTTGCCCCGATGGATGCGATGTCTGTGGCGGGGACTCCCCGTGCATGGCGCGTCACGACTACTTGCTGCGCACCGTGGTGCTGGGCGTCCAGATCCTCTGCATGTGCATCACTGTCGTGCTCGCCATTGTCGTCTTCAAGCAGCGCAAGTGCAAGGTCAGACACCCGGCGTTTTCATTATTCCAGACTAACGTAAGCTGCTTGGCCGCGCCATAGCTCAAGCGGTTAGTTAGTTAATTAGAGAGGGTGGGTTTCCCCATGCACCGCGACCAGTTTGATCTATTGTGCTTCCCTCTATGATATTCTACCAGTCTCTTTACCCTACCGATAAATTGTGCGTACCATCAGTCCCGCCGAGCAAGCGAGTTCGGCCACTTGCTTAGC